GGCACGGAACGGGCTGGGCTGGCCCCGCCCCACCGGCGTTGGGGTCCTGCCAGCCTGCGCCGGGCCGGGGGGGGGATATGGGGCTCACTGAGCGCCGGGACAGGCCCCGCCTGGAGAGGGCCCGGCGGTGCGGGGATGTCGGCCGGGCCTGAGTGGAGGACGAGAGGGGCGAGTCCCGTGGTCCCGGTCCTGGCTGGGGCAAGGGTACTTCCCGTAGGGTTGTGTGTGGGGCTTGGGCTCCCCGGGCTTCGGGCTCTCCTGGGCTGGGGCCTCGCTGAGGGGCCGGCCGGTGCTATGCATCCCCGAGTGCTTCATTAGGAATGGTGTTCTGTCATCGTTAGTTGGTGAGGCAGGAAATAAGCGATGAATAAACCCCATTAACTCTGTACGGGAAAGTCTCTTCGGTAAGTCCCGGCCATTTTAATTAGGTGGTCTGAAAAATTCCTTTTCTCGTCATTAGTGGTGAATGGGAAAGCCTTTCGTGGTGTCTTGGAAGGGTTAGACAGTGGGTTTCTATGGAATGCGGTTTCTCAGAAGATTGTTTCTAACCCTCACAGTTTGGTAATGCCTACTGGGGGGAGGCCACTGGGGATTATAATGATCTAATCTTGCTGTCTGCTGCATAACATGGGCTGGGTCGCTTAACCTTTAGTTTGCCAAGGCATAAGGGCTGTGCAGCAGCTGAATAATTAGAAAAAAAAAATCAATCTGTAGATGTGGTTTATTGGTGAGAAAGCAGTGCTGTGGAGTTGAAATACTAGGGTTGTTCAGTGAGAAGTAATTAAACATGCTGGCCAGTGAAAATTACCTTCAGATGTCCTGGGTTTGTTTCTGAATTGTAGGGTATCATGTGATGTTCCTTGGATTGCAGAGTTCTTTTACAGATGCAATATTTCAAGAGTCCTTTGTCCGATTTTGTTGCTTTGTGGTTTTTAAGGACTGTTTTGCATTTTTTTGGTGTGATTTAACTGTAGAATTACAGGATTTAAAGGGACTTCAGAGGCATGCCTTCCACAGCTGAGATAGGTGCAGGTGTATCTCATCATTCCAGGCAGATACTTGCAAAGCCTTCATCTCTGAGTGAGAGGGGTTCAACAGCCACCTGAACTAACTAATGCATTACAGATATCCCTTCTAAATCTTTACTATAAATTAAACTGGTTAGGCAGTCTTAACTTACAGACAAAGAGGCAGAGCAATGTTAACAATTGCTTTCCCAATGTTACCATTTCTCTGGTAAGTATAGGAGGTTTCAGACATTGCCTTATGCTGCACATATATATGTGCAAAAACTGTCCTCCAACTCCCATTCCCTTGCTCTAAGATATCACAGTGCTTATTAATCTGTTGAATCTGGACAGATAGGACCAGCTGCACTCATCAGTGCCCCTGTTGCTATTTTCAAACCCCTGTGGGCAGCTGTGAAACTAAAGAATCCTGTTTCCTAATGCTACCTGGTGTTGCCATGGTCAGCAGGCTAGGGGCTGGAGGGGCAGGAGGAGTTAGGAGAGATTAATGTTTTCATTCAGCTTCCTGTTGAACCTTGGTTTGAAGTGGAGGGAAATGCTCCTTAGACTGTAAAGGGGAGAATTTTTTCAGTTAGAAGATGGCCACTGTCCAAAGCCTGATGTGAAAGCTGTAGTCCAGGTGGCTTGGATACTAGGGTACTCTCATTCTTCTGTCCCCTGGGGTATATGGGATTAGCTTTTCACCAGAGCTTTGCTAATGACCGACTTCACTGGTGATTCCTTCTCCTTTGGTACTTCCCACCTGGCTGAAGGGGGCTCAGGTGTGCAGTTGTCCCTGTTTCTTTGAAATGAGATAGAGTAAATCTGTCTACCTGGAAAAGATTTTTTTTGTACTTGTTTCCTTTAGCTGGACTGTGTTAAATATTATTTGCTGTTTGAGACTTAGCCATCCTCTCCACTAAAATAATTTGTACATTGTTTTTTCTGCAAAACACTGTCACAGTAAGCTTGTAAACCTTTTGGGAATTCCCGCTGTCTTGGCAGGGAGCACTTAAATGTTTTCAAACATAACTATGCTTTCATTATGATGCAGTGTCATAAGTAATTTGTACAGTGTTCTGTGGTGGCAGAGCACTCCCACAGAAAGTGGCATGTCACTGCATTGTGAAAAAAGCTGGAGAGGGGACTAAGAAAGGAGTGGATATAACAAAGATGAGGTAAGCAATAGCCCTCGGTAGTCTTAGTTAAATGGAGAGCCAGAAGGGAAGCACTGAGCAAGAGCTATAGACTGCTATTTGCCCAGCAAACAGCTGGTCTGGCTAAAGATGCTGTTGCCCTACAGTGTTCATCTCTGGTGGAAATTGTTCTTTCCAAGGTAGAGAGGTGAATGTGTGCTGTCCTGTTTGTGTCCCCATCCATCAGGGTTATAGTTTAAATACACACTCTGTATTAATTCCACTGATGTTTGCTTGATGCGTTTTGATAGTGCTCATACAAACAGCTCTGCTGGCAGAATGCTGAAAGTAGCAGCTCTCTTCTATGGACAGGGCTGGAATAGGACAGTTCTCTGTCACCCTGCTGTGGCAGGTTAATGGAGTAAAAAAAAAAAAAAAAAGTACCATTATGGAGAGATAATTGGGATAAACTTGAAATAAAAGCAACAAAGCACTTTTGCACGCTTTCAGCCTCGTTTTTACTGCAGAAACATTGGCTTATAAAGGAATAAAAGCATCTAAATTTTTCATCTGTCAAGACTTGGCTGTCTTGACATCTGTAGAGAGAAACTTGATGTGTACAGCTTATGCTGTGGAGATACAGTTCCATTTGGGAGACAGAAGAAGCAGCAGAGCAGCTTTTGTAGGATCTTGGTATTGATCTGTGCCCATTACACTTGGGCTGATGTCTAATGTTATAATATGCTAATGTAGAGTAATGGAGTGTTATTTGCAAAGGAGAAAGTTAGCACTCATGATACCATCTCTGACTTCAACTAGGGAAAACAAAATGCTCAGGACTGAAAACATCTCTAATTTAAAGAGGAAGGAGGAAACCAACTCCATGCATGTTACCTACTTGGTGTATTGCATATTGATCAAAACCCTCATAAAGGCACTTGCTGTTATATGCAAGAGAAACTGCCTCTGTAAAGGCTTTTTTCTGCTTGAAGTCAGATGTTTTCTACCCTTGGAAACATAATTCTCTGGAATTTGGCAGTGGGTTGGGAATTAAGAGCAGTGCCAGTTACAGTCCTGTGGATTTGCATCTCTTATTGCTGTGTTTCAACATACAAGCGTATCTGCAGAGGGTACAGTTTTGTAAGTCCAGTTTACAACCTTTGTCCACTCAGGGATATTCCTTCCTCTTTTGAAGCATGGAATTTCACTTTCCATTACTTCAGTATTGAGTCTCAAAGGTGAGAGATACAAATAATTGTATCCAGCAGTAGCTTCAGTATGCTTTAGGGTAGGAGTCTTTGAGTAGTATTTGGGAAAGCAGTGTTGAACTTTCCTGTCATTTGTGGTACTTAATATTTTGTTTTCTAAATATTAGCCACTGGCTTCAGCTTGGATCTGTATTTATTTGAAAGTTTGAGGATGCTGCTTTAGTGGGATTAATTTTAACTACAGGAGGCCTTATCTTTTTATTACTATGTGTAAGGTATATGCTCTTTGAGACAGCTGAGAGACTACAGTGAGTAGGAAACTAGCAGTTAGTGACTGATCTGAAGATACTGTTTGTTCTCTTAGCCTTAATGATACTTAGAACATGCTTGTTTGTCTGGCACATGAATAACTCAGTTTGCAGCTAGCCATGGGATTCATCAGAAATGCTATGGCTGGTGCTGTGGAAATGATGTGTTTCAAGTTTCTAATCTATTTCTGTGACTAAGGTGAAGCAGTGACCGTAAAAGGTACTGAGATAACAGTATGAGCGGTCATTGGGAGTGATGGTGAACAGTATTGGTGTTCAACAGCAAGAGTTCTCTAAACTGACAGTTGTGCTGCCTTCCTGCAGTTCCTTACATCACGTGCAAGTTGTTCTGAACCCATGTGTCCTACAGAACATCCCGGAGCTGTAGTGTGTCTGTCTTGCGGAGCACATCAAAGTAACATTCAAAAAAAGTGTTCAGTTTTAAAAGCTGCCTTTACACAGGCAATTTCTTTTCTTGCAATGTTTAATTGTGCAGCTTCACTGATCAGAAGAGTGGTAGGAGCACTAGGCATGGTGTTGCTGGGGTGGTTTTGTCACTTATGCTTCATGTTGAGAGCAACTGTATTAAGAGGCTAAGAAAAAAAAGTAGATTCACCTCTATGGGGAAGTGCTGCTGAAGAAGGCTGAGATCTGACCAACAGCATGCCTGTTGCTGTAACGATGGTCAGGAAGGGGTGAAGTTAGCTGCCCTGTAGTGTCTCTCTGGAGCTCGGTATATATTGCAAGTGGTGCAGTGATTCAGTGCTCATTAAATGCTTGTTGATAGTTCTGCATGGCTGTTAATTTGGTGCTGCTTTCTGACCGAAAACTGCTAAAGCATTTTGCATAATTTAAAAAGGAGGGAATGTTCAGTCATGAAGCCCTGTTATTAGTGTTGAGCCATAATCCAGACGTTGGGAGACAAAGGTGTGAATGAGCTTCTGAATCTTGTAAATTTTGCAAATGCCAGCAAAATTTCCAGGGTGTTAAGGAATGGTGATCAGAAGACTTTAAAGGCTTTGAATACATGCGTTGTGACTCCATTGTAAAATCAAATAATTGAGAAAATTGCAGGTGCCTTTAAAAATGTCCTTCTAAAAGGACAATGAAGTGCCTTCTGTAGGAGTTTAGGATAAAAAAAAAAATCAATGTAAACCCTAAATTGTATGTGTGAAGCACCTCTTTAAACAAATGTAGATAAACTAAAATTGTAAATTGTGAAGCTGAGTGATAAACGGAGGTATCTTGGCAGCAACAGCTGAATTCACTGACCATTTCTTCTATAAAATTCACTTCTGTAGTGCTCCCTTGCCAGGCTTGCTGCAGACTTAACTTTTAAATAAACATGTATACAGCACTGGGCAGTGACTTGGAAGTGCTTTTTTTCTGAGTGACTGCAACCATGTAGTTAATGTCATCAATGCTTTGAACAGTCTGGTTCCTCACAGTAGAATGAAACAATTATTTTTACCTAGTAGATTGGGAATAAAGTAGAGATCTGTGGAGACTTCATGAGGAAAAAGCAAAGAAATGTTAAAAAGTTTGAACGAGCCCAGAGATTGAATAGGGCATTTGTCCACAATGTGACTTGGGTGGAAATAGCATGTGGAATGTATGAATGGGGGCAGGGAAGGAAATAGATACACCATCCTTCTACAGTTAAAAACCCCCAATTCTGTTAATTCTTAAATGGTCAGTTTGTCAACACTGCCTTAGGGGCTTTTAAATGAAGCAAGAAATGGGGGAAATGACGAGCAGAATTAAATAGGATTGATAACAATGGATTGGATCTCAAGATGTGGTAGAAGCTGTGCACAAGGATTTATATCATCACTGCTCTGTGTTCGTGCTCATCATAGGCTGCCTTCTGCAGAAAAGCTAAGCTCTGCTGTAGCTGTGTGACAGACACGGGGAGCAAAAGTTCCTTGCTGCTTGCCGAACTCCTGCATGGCAGAGATCTTCTCAGGTGCTGCGGAGAAGCATGTGTGCAACTGGCAGGCAGAGCACAGGCAAGGCTCTTGTGTAGGTCGGCTCACACAATCTCTGCAGCTCAGCAGGCGCCGGCTGTCACCCTGTGTAGCAGCAGTCCAGAGGGGAAGCAGACTGCTTCACTTCTCAGCGTGTCCCTGAGCCACTCAGGGAGGTGCACCCTCTGTGTTACACCAGTGGGCTGGAGAGGTGTCTGGAGAGAAATCCACCAGGTGAGGACATGAAGCATCAAGAATCTGCAGTTCTCTTGACAAGAATGACCTTGCTGGAGGAAATGTGTCATATTTCAAAAGCCTCCTTGTATTGCCAGCACACTTTAATGTTGAATTTATTACACTACTTGTGACAATTATCATATAAAAAAACTGTACTCCTTTTAAATTAAATTTTAAAATAACAGTAGTTTCCTTCCAAATGACCAGCACTGTTAATGGTGTCACCTGTAATGATCTTTCACTAACCAGTTCAAAGGATTGTTTTTAAAAGGGTAGCAGCAACACATTTGTGGCTTGATGCTTTCCCATGGAAGTGTGTGCTTTGGCTCTGTGGTGACAGGTGCAGTACACAGCCCTGAAATGTCTGTTCAAGCACCTTACAGTGAGTGGTGTGGGGAGATGTGTTTCTGTGGCACGGTGGCAGGGATGGTCACTTCAGCAAAGATTTGTCTCTATTCAAGAGATGCTGATGTGGCCTCCTGTGATAACAAATACAGTTGTTTGATCTCTTGTGCAGAAGTTCTGATTGGCACAGGGTTGAAATATGCCTTCCCAAACACTGATGTGAGAGCTCATTGGTTTTGAGGTCTGCTGGTGTGTTTGGACAGTTTTCTGGTTTGGGTCCTGTCTCTGTTGGGCTGCACTTTTTTTTTACTGTATAATTAATTCCCTGTGATGCTGGATGATGCTACCTTCACTGGTGCCTGGCTTATTCTGGTTTTAGTCTGTGCTTTGCAGTGGGTGAAGTAATGGTCATCTTGGGTTTTCAGAAATGCTTTGCCTGTCTTAGGTTGATGTTTTGAGGGGACATTTGAGGGCATCAGCCTGGCATATCCTTCTAAAGTAAAACCTGTGGGCAGCATTATGTTAGACTCCAGACTGGGCTGAGTGCAGCTGTAGTAACAGAACTTGGGCACTGCTGAGACTTGGCTAATGCTCAAAGAGTGCAAAGGCCTGTTTGAGGCCTCCTGTGTGTGTGTGGATTTGGGTTGGCTCAGGTTGCTCTGCTCTTAAAATGAGAGCAAAACACTGGAGGAAAAAAAAAAAAGAGTATTGTAGTAATGTGTTACAGTAATTCCTGTCTGTGCTCACATGTTGCGAAGAACAGTAAAAATACAGCACTTCCCTGGCACTCATCTGTGTTTATTCTCTTTCTTTAGGACCTGACTGGCATAGAGTCCATGGACCAGTGTCGTCACACGCTGGAGCAGCACAACTGGAACATAGAGGTACCACTGCAAATAAGATTTGTAGCGGTTTCCAAGTACCTGGGTTAAATGGAGTACTCTGTGGAGAGGGGGAGCTCTACAAGTAAGATTCAGTCTGTTGATCCCTGAATTTACACTAGTAGCTCTGTATAGCAATAGCTTGATACATCTGGAGAGATGGTTTCAGAAGTACACAGCGGAGTTGTTAAGGCTGTGAACAATCACTTGCCTGGCACTTTGTGTAACTCCCCATAGTGTGTGAGAGTGTGTGAGAGTGAGTGTGTGAGTGTGTGTGTGTGTGTGCGCGCGCGCAGGCTGCCACAGAGAAGGATTTCCAGGCAGAAAGGAGTATTGGTGGTTACAGTTTATAATGAGCTGTGCTTATACAGTGCTCTGGGGTTGTGGACAAATAATACCTACTGTTAGTATCTAAAGTATAATAAAGGTATTTCCTGCCATCCTTAAATATCTGAAACCTCTTTGCTGTTTCTTGTGTCAAAGGCAGCTGTACAGGACCGACTGAATGAGCAAGAGGGTGTCCCAAGTGTCTTTAATCCTCCTCCTTCACGGCCATTGCAGGTCAATACAGCTGACCACAGGATCTACAGCTACGTTGTCTCAAGGCCACAGCCAAGGGCAAGTTATCTTACAGTGGAATTTTTTCCTGCTTCTTGGGTGATTATTTGTGAGAAACAGAACTTGCAAACAGGGAAAGGAGTTGTTTTCTTTGTATGCTGTTATCTCCTTTCTAAATATTTTATCTTTTGAGAACATAACATTAGAGCTATTCCTTCAGCCTCTGTTAGTACTGTAGATATTTTCTCCCCAGTGTGATTCACAGTATGAGACAACCTTCTTCGTGTCATAGAATGTCTTGATGTGGCACAGTAAAGCTTTTTGAGAAGTTCAGTAGGAACAAAGGACTGGCCCCTCCTCATGGCAGGGTGACAATGTATTTTTTGTTTTTAGAACACCTCAAATTTATATTAATTTGAATACAGCATCACCTACTTGCATTAATGTTTCACAAACAAATTTGTCTGAGGACCTGTAAGACTCAGTGCTGTTCATCATTCTGTACAGTTAAGAAAATTAGCACAGAGCAAAAGCATTGCTGCTTGAATAGTCAGTGACACCAGGTTTTAGACGTGTCACATTGAATTCTGAATAAATCAGGTTAGTCACTTAAATTTAATTTGATGTGTCCAAAGCCATGAAATATTGCTGAGGTCTTTTGCAGTGGTTAGAGCACTGATACTCCCATGTGTGCCTGTGTGCTTGATGCTGGTGGACACTTTGCTTTAGCAGGCCTGTTCCTGGTGTGGAGACTGTTCTAATTCTTTATTTGTAATTGCAGGGCCTGTTAGGATGGGGTTACTACTTCATAATGCTTCCATTCCGATTTACCTATTACACATTACTTGATATATTTAGGTAAGTACTGACTTTTGTGCTGACTCATGTATTGACTGCGTCAAGGCACGTTCTACCGCTTAAGTTTGGCTGTACCTCTGTCACTTGGATCTTTAATGACAGATTTTTACATTTATTTGCTCAGCTGGCTTTATCTGTAGCCTTGTAAAGTTCCTACACTTTAGTAAGAAATAAATCTTATTGCAGAGGAGAAAGAGCATCTTGCAGCTTTATAAATGAAATATTTAATTTGGAGTTTCAACTCCATGTGGCTTTACAGTTTGTGTCACACAAAGTGGATGCAAAACAGTGTCAAACTATCAGGTATTTCTGAACAAACAACTTGATCAGAATCATCTCCCATTGGGCTGGGCTGCAGGTTAACCTGCCTTAATCCCTCTCTGTTTGGTAAAACCTAAACTGTAAACATCGCTGCATTTTTCCCCTTTGGTGTCTGTTGCCTCTTTTCCCTTTACTGCCCTGAAGGGCTAGTTCATCTTGCCTCCTTACAGCATTGATAGAGAGGAAAGAAAATATTGGAAGGTGATAAATAGCCAGTGGTCATGCATCTGCATTGTTTTGGCCATTTCCCCTGTTGTATTAATTTTTTTCCCATTAAAGATTTTTCCAGAGTTCAGTGAACTTCTATGCATCAATAGAACTAAACAATATTGATATCTGCTTTGAAGTTAAGCTTTTTCAGCCTCAGAGGAATGACTGTTTCTTCTGTTTTCATTGGACTCCTAGTGTAATATTCTTTTTCTGCAGCTCTTTGCACTCAAATTGTTAGACTTGGAATAGCAGAAGTGCAGTTTTCAAAGACAAAACTGTGTGGCTTTTAACACCCTGTCTTTGACTGAATTCCTCAAACCTCATACTGTTGATGTGGCTTATGCCTGATGCTCCAGAGGAAGTCAAAACTGTTAATCACACAGAATTCAAATACTTGTTGATGCCTGGTATGAGATATCTGACGGGGGGGCTTCTGTAGCAGTGGTATCAGTTTGGATCAGGTGGCAGTTTAGGTCGTGATTATAAATGTTCAGGGGTCCCAGCTCTGACTTTTTTCCTTCTTATGAATACCAGTGACTGTCTGTGGAAAAGAAAACCTGTTCTTCAGAATGTCAGTAAGCTGAACTTCCAGTGTCCTTTGCTTCTTTCCTAGGTTTGCTCTGCGTTTTATACGCCCTGATCCTCGTAGTCGGGTCACTGACCCAGTGGGTGACATTATTTCGTTTATTCATATGTTTGAGGAAAAATATGGGAGGATACACCCTGTCTTCTACCAGGGAACTTACAGCCAGGTCAGTGTCACATGTTGGTGCATAGATCCTGGGGAGATGGGGAGTGGGGATTTTGCCAGACTGTATCAGGGCCTACATGGCAAAATCACTTTTAATTTAAAAGCCCAGTGTTTGTCCCCAAACTTCTAACAGGGTAATGGAGAGCTAGTGAACAAGTGTGTTGGAAAACCAGTGTCTGCCAGGCTTGATGACATGCCAAGCCTGCAAAGTTGGAAAGCAAAGCTGCTCTGACTGTTCCTCGACCGTCTGTATGGCTCTGTAGCCAACAGCTATTCTTTGTAATCCTGCCTTTGTTTTTATAAACTGATGTGGTATGCCAGAGTCTGTCCTTCTGTTGACCAAATTGGGATTGACTGCCTGGGTTTGTATTATAATGAAACTCCAGAACTTGGTGCAGGACCTCAAAATTGAGAGAGGGAGCCCCTGAAGAAATTATGGGAGGTGAGAGTCCGTATGTTAGATGTGGACTGATGGCAATCTCCGTAAAAGAGGGACGTCCCAGTGGGTGCTGCCTCTTCCACACCTTCTCTCAGCCTAGCCAAGGGAAGGGCCTCCTGCAGTGCATCCCAGCAGACGGTTGGATCAGCACTGCTTCCTGAGTGCCAGGGAAGAATGTGGAGTCTGTATCTGTTCCACACTGCACAGCGATGGAGCTCGCCGCCTCCGCAGCTCTTCTAGGCCCCTCTGTCTTGTCTGGAATCCAAACTTAAATAACCATGGAATGGTTACACTACCAAAACTCAGTGCCAGTAAAACAGGAAGGCTATTGTGCACTTATCCTGTGGTCTTGTTAAGAAATGCTCTTTGGTGGGTGGAATCCAGAGGCTGTAGATGCAAAATGTTTTGGTTTTGTTTTGTTGGGGCCTGCAGTGTTATTGAGTTACCTTTTTTAGTAGTGTTTTCACTTGATGTGGTCTGAAGATTGTCCTGTACAGGCTAGAGTCAAAAGTTCAGCCTTGGCTGTTGTGAGTCTGCAGGGTAAAGGAGGGCTCTTCGCTGTCAGCTGAGTCTGGCAGAGCAGTGGGGGGTGTCAGTCACCACAGTTGCCTACCTGACTTTACTCTGACTTCAGTGTTCTCCAGTGCCACATCCTGAAAGAGGTGTGAAAACACCACAGGAGCCCCCTTAAATGAGGGTTTGATCAGGAGGTCTGACAGGTTCATCCTCTATTGCTACTTTATTAAAACCACGCTAGTGGCAGAGTCATGGCCCGAGTAAATGTTGCTGAGCTGTGTCACGCAGTTCTTGTGGGTGCCACTTTCCCCTTGCCTAGAGACCCTGTAACTTTACCTCCTCTGCTCTTATGCCAAGGCACTGAATGATGCCAAGCGGGAGCTGCGGTTCCTGTTGGTTTATCTTCATGGAGATGACCACCAAGACACAGATGAATTCTGCCGGTAGGTAGGACAATTTTCCAAATAGTTATCTATGCACTTGAAATGCAACTTCATTCACATGATCTCTTCTCATCCCCTAGCAATACACTGTGCGTACCTGAGGTGATCGCCCTCATAAACACTAGAATGCTCTTCTGGGCTTGCTCAACCAATAAACCAGAGGGATACAGAGGTGAGTGTGTCCCTCCTGGGCTTTATCTATTCCCTTCCATCTCTAGACAAAGCCAAATGCTCTTTGACAAATTTACATGTTTGAACACACAGTTGGTTTCTGTGCAGACAAGAGATTTCAGGATTGCATGGGGAAATACGTGTTGGTTTCCATGTAGTATCCTAGAGGGCTTGTTTGGATGCCAGGGAAATACCTTCTGCTCTTCACCTCCACTGTTCCACGTGTTCCTGGGCAGTCCTAGTTGCAAGCTCTTTGCTGTGGGCATTCAAGCTGCTTTCAGTACCTTGTTAATGGGAGTTGGTGGGTGTGTGCTGAGGATTAAACTGAGTGCAGAAACAAGTATCTAAATGGCTGTGCCCTTAACACCAGCTCATATTATGTCTGAGGTGACACTTAGGTGCATTCTTTCCTTGAGACAGTCATCTTTACTCCACACCCAGTCTCACTGTCTCCTCAGAAGCCCACAGTGAGATCCTTTCAAGTACTGTCTTTCCAGAGCTGTTGATACCTGGCCTGCCATCGTTTTGATGGGGTTTTGCTGCGAATGGAGCCTTTTCCCAAAGTCCTGTTCATGCTTTCTGTGTTTCTTCTGACCCTTCCTGTTTCATAGCAGGAGAGGCCAGAAGTTCTGATACCAAGTCATTCTTGGCTTCATAGTTGAGCTACCAGCTCTGGACACCTTGCAAGAATGGCTTTCTAAGGAGACATTCTTGTACTTACTGCTCTTTCATTGCTGCAGTGCTTTGGAGTCACAGCCTAGAAAGCAGAGCTGGAACGGATTGTGGCCTTTTGTTTAATCCATGGAGTGCTCTGATTTAGTTTGGAGGGTTCCACTGGTAATAACGACTCTCAAGTTGTGTGATGTACTATGCGTGTTTTAAGGAGAAGGTGGTCAGCAGCCACGGGCAAACTGTAATTTAAAAGTCCCTGATCTGCTCTATTCCCTGCCCCAAGACAGTGCTTGCCTCTGGCAAAAACAACCTAATTTTCAGAAGAATCCAGAATGGACTCTCTGGCGTCTTCCCCATGACAGTATCTTCCAGAGTCTGGCCATCCTTAATTGTCTTAGCAAATGTTTTCCTGTGCTTGACCTGTACTTCTCTTCCTGGAGTTTAAACCCAGGGCTTTTTCTGTCCCATTCTGAATGGACATTCAGAGCAATTCACTTCCTGCTTGAATTAAAGAACCTTTTTCGTCACTTGAAAGTTTGGGTTTTTTCCACTCTGTTTCTATGTTCCAAGCCACTTCCTCCCTTGCTGATTTTTAGGGTTTAGTTTGACAAAATGGAGCCTGAGGCCTTTTCTGCCTTGGAAGAGATTGCAGCTGTTTTCCTAGGCCCTTGGTGATGGAAAGGCTTTGTGCTGTACCCCTTGCTGACGCTTCTGGATTGGGGCAGTTACGGTGATGTTTGTGCCGTTTCCCAGTCTCCCAGGCTCTGCGAGAGAACACATACCCATTCCTGGCTGTAATCATGCTGAAGGATCGCAGAATGACAGTAGTTGGACGTCTGGAAGGCCTCATCCAGGCTGATGACCTCATTAATCAACTGATGTTTATCATGGATGCCAACCAGACATACCTGGTGTCTGAACGTCTGGAAAGGTATGATGGAACCTGAGCTGCAGTAATGCAGACCTTGTGGAGGCAGGCTCTGCCCCTTCCTCCCTCCACACATCACTGTAGACAGGTAGCTCAGCATCTCCCATTCTGAAACACAGCCCCTGGGCTCCCCTCTTCCCAGTGGGATCATTGGTCCATAAATTCAGGCCACCTTATAGCCAGGGAGCTGGACATGTTGCCCACTAATGAAAGGTGGGTGTGAGTGTTCTACTGTGTTCCACAGGTGGAGCACACCTTTAGCGTGCTGGAGCTTTGCAGGTAAAGCTTGGACAATAGCTGGTAGGAGTCAAGTGGGAGCAAAGCAGGCAGGAGGAGAGCTGGCATCCATAGCCAGTTGGTGGGCGAGTGTTGCTGCCTGGACTGGCTGTCCTGAATTCCAACTGTGTTTTTGGCAGTGCCTCACGAGCACAAGCTCCAGTCCCTGGTAATTGTAGGGATTTGCAGGCTTTGTCTAAAGTAGGATGCTGCCTTCTGGTGTTCTGTCTGCCCCTCCCCTGCCCCATGGTCTCTGTGGGAGACCCAGTAACATTTTGATGTTTCTGGTTTCTGAAACACACAAGGAATTACCTGAAGGAGATAAAACCTTAAAGAGCCTCAAGTATGAGGCATAAATCCTGAGCACTGCTTATGTGCTGTCTGTCCACCCTGTCAAGCTGCAGTGGGTGAGAAATCTCTTGTGTTCAGTTCATTTCCATTCAGGCTAGAGAAATAGTTTGTGTGCTGGGAGCAGTGGAGACTGCTTGCGTTTTAGGAGCTTGTGGTGTTCTAAATGAGGCTTTACCTGATGTGTGTGCTCCTATGAGTTTGAGGCTGAACCCGCACCCTCAGGTCTGCCATCGGCCTGCCATGCCCTCACTTGGGGGCCTGATAAACCTGACCGCTCCCTGCTCATGTCTGCAGGGAAGAGAGGAACCAAACCCAAGTTCTGAGGCAGCAGCAGGACGAGGCATATCTGGCATCCTTGCGTGCGGACCAGGAAAAGGAGCGCAAGAAGAAAGAGGAACGGGAGAGGAAGAAGAAGAAGGAGGAGGAAGTGCAGCAGCAAAAACTAGCAGAGGAGAAGCGGCGACAGGTGAGAGCAAAGTGACTGCTGGAGAGGCTGTTGTGCCCCTGCCTGCAGCAGGGCTTTCTTGTTTGTTTGGGGATGCTTGTCTTGCTTGGGGCCTGAGCGTCCTCTGAGCCTCCTGGAGCAGCTGTGCTGCAGGGGACAAGCATAAAGGTCAGCTTGGTGCCTGCCCATTGCTCCTGCTCCATCCTTACTTTGCAGACGCTGCAGGAGGAGAAGGAGCGGAAGTCCGAAGGCCTTCCTCCCGAGCCACATCCCGATGACCCAGAGAGTGTTAAGATCATTTTCAAGCTGCCTAACGATTCCAGAGTGGAGCGGCGATTCCACTTCACACAGTCATTGACGGTGAGCTTGAGGCAGAGCTGATGGGATTCCCAGAGTAAAAGAGGGGTCGAGAGATTCTCTGGGTGGCTCAGCAAAACCTTGGTTCCATTGGACTTTGTCAAATGGTGACCTTTGCCAAGAGCCTTAGCAGTCAGAGTTGTTCCTGGGTAAGGAGGGTGTCGTGAGGCCTGGTCCCACTAGCTTAGAAGAGAGAGATTAGAGAAAAAAATGAAAGAAACTTTTTTTTTTTCTTCTCCTGAAAAGCTGAAACTTATTGCTCCCAACCAAATGGTGTAGGAAGTGCCAGAAACAGTTTGGACTTCCCAGGTACTCTGTGACAAGTCATGTTTCATATATGCTAAGTAAGTGGCTGTCTCCTGTCTACAGTGCAGTGATGGTGCAAATTTTGGTAACCTGCCCCCTCTGAGATGCCACAGATGCAGTCTGTGTCATTGCTCTCCCAGCTGGCACTTATTCCTGTGCTTCTTTCCCAGGTGATCCATGACTTCTTGTTCTCCTTGAAAGAAAGCCCTGAAAAGTTCCAGATTGAGGCCAATTTCCCTCGCCGTGTCCTGCCCTGCCTCCCGACAGAGGAGTGGCCCAACCCACCCACGCTGCAGGAGGCCGGACTCAGCCACACGGAAGTCCTCTTTGTGCAGGACCTCACGGACGATTGACACTTTTCCAGAAGACACGAAATGGAAAGAGAAATTCATATTATTATTATAATACAATATTTTTTTTAAAAGACTGCATACAAACGAGGGATCAGAGACCACATCGCCTGTGCCAGCTGTGCTGTGTGTGTGCACTGGCGAGAGGAAGTGTGTGTGCATCCTCACACACCTGTGTACACAGCCATCCCCTACACTGGGAGGGCAGAGAGCGAGGGGAGCTGGTGTTGCCCCTCCGCCCTCCCTGGGGAGGAACAGGAATGGCAGCTCTCAGTAATTATGCTTTTATTGACAACAATAATAATAAAACCCCAAGAACCTGACATCTTGTGAAGATTTGATACTCTGCTGCTCCTGACAGCCAGAAGACCGGGCACCTGAATGTGCTGGGAGTGGGGCAGGGGGGGAGGGCTGGACAGAATCTCTTCAGCTTCCCTGTGTATAAATATCTTTCTTTTAATATTTCTCTTGCTTTGTAATGACCAAAGGAGAATGGGGTTGACTATAGTATTAACTTTTTGATAAAGAGCTGGTTCGATTCTTACCCGTGTGGGGTCTTGCCCAGGGTTCTTAGCCTGCGTAGTGTAATAAACTCTGCCTCTAGCATGTCTGTGCCGATGCTTTCTGCCCCTGCCACAACTAAGCACTGCATATGCTTAACTTCTGGCCTTGAATGGGTGACTTGGGCCAGCAGAGCTGCTGGTGTAAAGGAAACCAGTGTGTGTGCCGGGGGGAAGGCAGGGCTGGAGTCCCTGCTCTGCTGCCAGCCTGTGGCTGATGGGAAGGAGATGACCCGCCCTTTGCTTTGAGGACTGGGGCAACCCTCCTCCATCAAGATGTGCAGGGTGGGTGTGAGCCCCCCCAGGAGCTTGGTCATGACTGTGGAGCAGGGCTATGGGCTCCTGCCTGCAGCAGGAGGGGTTGGGGCCTGTTCTTCCCTTACCTGGCTTTGCACAGGTAACTGCTTGCTCACCTCCCCAGAGCACAGAAGGGAGCAGGGAGATCTCTCACCCCCACCAATGCTGAAGCCTGGAAGCAGTGGTAAACCAGCCTCCCTCCCTGGCAGCTCCAGGGCCTGGCATGGCTTCCTTTAACAGGGAGAGGCAATCCTTTTCTTCCCAAATGAAGAGCTGTTCCCTTTCTGGCCACAGAATCTTCTGGAGCAGCAACCTTGCTCTTATCCTCTGGGAGCCTGAGTTCCTGCCCTCTGTCACATGGAGGTGGAGGAGGATGTCTGCTCTGCTCAGCTCCAAGTGGTGCCCAGCTTGGGGCTGGTTCCCCACCCAGCTGGGGGCTGCAGGGCTCACCCCTTCCCTGGGGGGCACAGCCATGCTGGAGGATTGAGCCATAGGGGAGGTGGAGGGTGCCCCCCCGGTGTTGCTGAAGCCCCCCCGGAAGCAGTGCTGTTCCAGGACAGCCCATCTCTGTACACGCTGCCAAGGACCTCGGGGTGAGCGAGGGGGACACAGAACCCTCTGGGGCAGAGAACCCAGCCAGCTCCTGCTTCTACCCCTGGGCTCTCCTGGTCTCCTCCAAAACCCTTCTGGGGCTCTTCCAGCTGCTGCACCCTCCTTCCACCTGCTCAGAGATGGCCTGGGGAACCCTATCCCGGACCCCATTCCTGACCAGAGTGTCAGCCTGGCCTCTGTCCCCCCAGCGGGGCCACCTGTGGTCACCCCAGCCCCCCTCAAGCCCTCACCTACCCGCACCGAGACAAGAGCCAGGGCACAGCGCATTGGTATACATCATACATTTATTAGTGAATATCCCTCTCAAAATCAGCCACAACATTAAAAAAAATAATGATTGCACTACTTGGTCAAGCAGAACTAGCAACTTTCATTTTAAAAAAAGTACAAATCTGTTAAAAATTTCAATCAGTATAATACACATATATATAATACAACATACTAGTTATGTTAAATGCTACAAAACCAATATGATTCCAATGGAATGGAAAAAAACCAAACACTTTTAGAGCTTTAAGAACCTTTTTTTCTATATATTAGCCTTTTTTCAAATACATACATGGGAAAAATGAGGTAACTGTAAAATGTGCAAGTAACAGAGCAAAAAAAATTATATATATATATTTATATATATATATATATATATATAAAAACTTTCTAACACAGAACACACGTCCTAGCACCTTCCGGGGAGCCGCGGGGGCCGCGGGGGTCCCACCGGAGGGCCCGGGGACTGGTATAATAGAACAGTAAACAGTCCACTATCCCACCACAGGAAATCATTGGTAAACAGTGGTATCTACAGCGCAGTCAGCAATCACAAACACCCTAAATAATTGTTTTTTAGTATTTTTTTTTGTAATTTTTTCTTTTTGTTATTTTTTTTTTTAAATGATACTTTTAGCTGCTCATTGGAATAAATTCTGCAGCACACGAGCTGTGAGCTTTCGAGTCGCCGTCAAAGGACCGTAAGGCTTTCCTGGCTCCCTG